AAAAACGTTATTTTTTTTATTTTACATGCACCGTCCTACACTAATACGGTGCAGCCATATTGTTATTTTAGTATTCATGGTTTATGGGAAATATAGGTATAATATACACGCTCAAATACATAAAGACAAAGTTGGACAATAAGTCTCTGTGTGTATATAGTGGCCATTGTAAACCGGCGTAGTATAAAATAACAATGTCCAAAGTTTTACTCGACTTGGCCATTTGGAAATTATTTCGCTTTGCAAACGAGAGCCACTTTTATCGACTCGACGACATTGTGAAATAGTGCTTTAGAAATATTTTATAGCCCCAGACCCTCCCCTCGTCCCGCCCCTCATTCGCGTACATATACATGCTCGCTTTGCACGCGCAACTTCATCACAATCGTCCGTTTACCGCTTTGAACATAAACTAATATAATAAACTTTTCACCGTCAACAAAGTATAAAAATGTATATTATATCGAGCAAACACAGAAGAGAATATAATTTTCCTCCTCCGACAATGTTCGAACATAGTTATATCGTCATCGACCGAACGACAAAACAATATATTATAAGGGTTGGTGTTCTTTTCTCGACGATATTTCATATAATAGTATAATACCGTTTTATTATTACCGTTTATAATGATATATTAAAAAAAAAAATCGACTACTTAAAAATAAAATGTCAAGTTGTCTTATTAAAAAAAAAAAAAGAATAGTTTCTCGTTATATATTTTCACGTGGATCACCTTGTCTGCGCTGATAAATATTTAGCTTTATTAAGTATAATTATATTCATTTTAATATTTAGTTAAAGAAAACAATAAAATTTAATAATAATATAAATATTTGTATTTAATTTTAATAAATATTAAATACATAACTAATATTATTATTTAAATATAATTATTATCATTATTTATTTATAACTAATATTATTATTTAATTATAATTAAGTATTGGGACGGGCAGACAGCAGAGTTCTACTGCGTTAGTGTCTCACACCTAAGAGGAGATCAATATTCAACCGAGATCACTTTACTTTAGATTTCGACTTAACTATAGCTTTGTAAGATCATTGTAGCCAATGGCTAGAGTTGTATGAGCTAACAGTTCCCATTTAGAACAACAATTCTATTTTAAAAAATTGCCTTTTTTTACTACACCCTAATTATTGTTATGGCCGTCGGTGACAACCCATTTTCATTGCCTGTTAACTGTTGTTTCACTCGCATAGAGCACCATAGAAATTCTAGCTACTCTCAAAGTGTAATTTATTCTTTGGTTTATCCTTAATAAAAAAAAAAAAGTTTGATTACGGCCCCATTCAAGATCTGCCTCTGATCTTGTTTTCAGACCTTAACCCCTAAAAAAATGAAATAAATAAAAAGTTCATTATTATATTTTATTGTATTATTTGATTTACTCCGTTTGGTGTTGTCCCAACGTGAAGTCCTCGGCATTACAATCCTTCGTGCCGTTGCCCCAAAAAAACGTTACACACTGTATTGTAATTCGATTAGGTAGGTTTTTTTTCTTATCCATTGACGCACATGCTTGTAGGTATACCTGTTCTATATAACGCTATACGTTATTATATAATCTATATAATATTCGTTCGTGTACATATATACTGACTGGTCTGTTTCGCACCGCATGAGAACGCCGCCGGATCGACATAATCCGTCGGACCGCAGAGAGATCTAAAGATACAGATAGCAATAGCATAGGTGTAGGGGAGATAAAAAAATAAAACGAAAAAATCAATTTACCATTATTGTCATTGATATTTTGCACATTGTTTCCGCGGCCCCGGATACAAAAAAAATAAATAAAGAGGGTCTTAAGGGGGCCACTTTTTTTGTGTTATTATTATTATTTTGTATATGACGTTTTTATCAGTCCGACGCCATCCCCAAAGCGGTAGACATCCGTGAGACTCTCTCGCAAAAGTCAGGGGAGCTCGATTCTTTTTATTTTTCTATTATTGTATTATAATCTGAAACACCACACCCCCCCCCCACCCCTTCCCGCATCTCACCCCAATGCGTTGAAAAAAAAAATTTTAAAACTTAGATTGTCACATGAATATTAGCCGAATAACCATTTTGTAGTTGAAAACTTATCGAGTACGCAATGAAAAAGGACAAGTTTTTTGAGCTGACTTGCTAATTGTTTAGTAATATGGCTGTTTAAAAAAATAGTAAAAAAAAAAAGTTTACCACAAGAACAATTTACCAATCCATTTTTATCACATTTGTTTTTTTTTTTATGTCAATTACTTTGAAAACAACCGAAAATTAATTACAATTTTAAATCTTTAATTTTTGACTAAAAATAATAGCGTGGGCCCTATTCAACAAAGTCTAAATTCATTAAGTTAAGTACCTACTATGAAATGTATTTAAATTACAATATAAAATATTATCTGATAAATTTATTAGGGACTTTGTTGAATAAGGTCCACGCTTTTCTTTTTAGTCAAAAATTAAGATGTTTAACATTATTTAAAATTGTACTCTATTTTCGGTTGTTTTCAAAGTAATTGACATTGAAAAAAAAATGTGATACAATTGATTGGTAAATTGTTCTTGTAGTAAAATTTTTTTTAAAAACTTTTTAGTTCACTTAAGTGTTCACCGGTAAAAATGGTGTACGATTTGGATTGGAAAAACCTAATATATAAACCTATATGACTTGTCACAGTGTTATTAATAAACGTTCACAGCAAAAGCTATATAGAGGTTGTGTTATTTATAAAAGTTTATATTATGAAAAATGTGTCAAATATAGATACCTAAACCAACCTCTCTGAGGGGAAAAAAAGACAAATTAATATATAAACCAAAAATTATAATAATTAAGCCGGTATATTTTGTAATACAATAATATCCATTGTATATAGTTTTTTTATTTTTTCAACGCCAGTCAATTTCTTTGTCGTTGTTTGAAAACAACAGTTGTATTATCTTAAATTAAGACAAAAATTGTATTTAACCTATACAAATTAATTAAAGACGTTCACGTGGGAAGGATTTATCGTGTACCTATACACTAAAATAATTATTAAACAAAACAGACTTGTATATTATTATTGTAGCTATTATTTCGTGACAACGTGTAATTAGCATATTGTGCGTACACAAACACATACAGGTGTCGTATAATATATTGTAATTATTTAATTGGGATGCAAATGGCTTATACAAGTGACACACACACACAAACAAATTAAATTAAAAAAAAACAAATATTAATTTTACCAGTTTTGCGTTGGGTAAAAATAAATAAAAAAACATCCAAAACAATTTTATCGTACCAAAAAACGACCAAGTCATAATTAATAACATAACACAGAAATGTTATTAATTAAATTAAAATAAATACAACGACAAAGTATCATATTTGACATAAAAGTCATAATATCGTAGAAACCAGTCGAAATTGAATATTTTTTTGATTAACTTGTACTTGAAAACAGTTTACTTACATATACTTACCTAGAAAATATGTTGGCCTGGCAAGTTCATTGCCATCGCATAGTTTTCAGTTGTAACACTTTGAGATGATATTTTTAATATTTTTTTTATTAAAATACGACATAAATCTTAATAGACGTCTGCCAACCTTTGTTCGTATTAGTTAAAGAAAATCATTCCATTTTAAAAAAAATATTTCTTTTAAAAGAATTTTTAATCTGTTAATAAGGCAGCGCATGGCTTTATTTTTTAATTTATTCACTCAAAAATTATCTAAATGGAAAGGGAAAAAGATAAATGGATACCAAATAAATATGAATTGAATAAAAAAATTAACAGTCTCTAATTACATATTAATATTACCTAATTCAAAATATTGCCTTAAGGTTTGTGTTTTTTTAAAGATACATTTGACGCTACAAGACTTTAAGATTAAGATGTCGGTCAAGTCGAGCATTGTGCGGGTATTCATTAATTACATTGTATAGGTATACTTACAATATACCAAACCTAACCTAAGGTACGGTCGGGTCATCTAGTTAGTACCACCTTCGGACGCCGTTGTGAACTCACGTGTGTAATATTATTTTATGTCCTATTGACAAGTGAAAAAAAAAAAAACAATTTTGGTTCCTTTATTTTTCTCAAAGAGTTGTGTTTTTCTATTACTTCGTCCGTCGCACAGAAGACATGGTACATAATACATATATACTATTAGGTATAATATAGTGTTCCCATCAGCACTTCCTGTGGCGTTGAGGTCACTCTCCGTGTAGAAAAATCCTATTGTGCACAGTTTTGGGTTATCGACAATAGGGACAAAATAAACAATAAATAAAATAATGACATTTACACGGTTGTAAATGATAAATTATGCCAAAGGCCAGTGTCCACCCAAATGTGTGCTGTACCTAAAAAAAATGCCGCCAAAGAACCGGACCTTTTTATTTATATTGTTATAGGTCAGGTTAGGTTGAACGTCAAGTCGTTTCCTGACCCACGTGGCGTACCTTTGAGACGTTTTACTCGAAGGAGGTATTGTGACAAACGACGAATAATAAATGAAAAGAAAATGTACCTACAACAACAAGATATACAAATATATGGTCACCACGGAATGTGTGAACAAGAAAACCGTTTGTGAAAAACGGTTTAGTTCCAAACAATAATGGGTTCTCAATGACAAAATAACAAATTAAGTAAATAAATAAATGAAAAAAAAAAAAATTGTTTTAACTTTTCGTTCAAATGTATTTAATGCGTTTTTTAAATCGTTCACAACATTATATATTTTTTTAAACATTTATTTACAATAAATAATCATATTATTATTGTGTAATATTATTATTATTATTATTATTATATATCGAATAGGTAGGAACGAACCGAGTCGTTTTTTTTTTATTATAAAATGATAATATTAACGCTAATTATTAGTACAATAATAATAATACACTTGTTGATTATTTTTCTCTTTCAAAAAAAAAAAAAAAAATTGATTATTATTTTCATAAATAATTCAGTACAATGACAGACAATATTTGATTTTTTTTTTCTTAATATAATATTTAACACATATGTTTTGGCACTTAAAACACTACTTAAAAAACAAAAAAAGGGAAAAAAAGAGATAATATTATAATATATAGGTATACTTAAATAAATAAAAACGGATCAACGGCCGGCGCGCGTAGGGTAATAATTATTATAGTATAATAATAATAATAATAACTTAATAATTAATTATAATAATATATATGTATATATATTTACAAATGACAAATATTTATTACCTCTACGGCTTGGGTCGCCACACAACGAAACAACAATATCATAGTCATCAATTCAAAGAAAAAAAAACATCAATAATCTACTCGAGCTGGTCGGAGACACGGTTTACTGTAAACTATTAGTTATTCATTTTTTTAACAATAAAAAATAAAGGCAGGTAGGTAGGTAGAAATAGATATTGAACAAAATTATTGATTTATAATATCTAATAATTGAAACAAACAACAAACAGTATCCAAAAAAAAAAAACTACTATTTTTTCTATAGCGAAACACACTTTAACACCTAAAATTGCTAAGAAAGGTAACTGTCGAAGACAATTTGAAAAAAAAAAATAATAAATACCCAACGGGGTAATCGAATAGGTATAATAATATTTATAATGAGATAAAAATACTTATGTATATCTACATAATATTATTTTCGTTTAAAATTTTCAAGTATTATGTACAAACACACTCATAGACACACACACAAAACGCACATAATAATAATAACAATAATATTATTTATTATCATTATCATCTTTATATTAGTATAATATATGAACTCAGCACTCGGGACGGGACAGACGAGAGAGAAACAGGATGGTCGGTATTACTATTTCTATCTATTATTACAACAAAATAATATATATAATACATATACATATATAATAATATAGTAAGTCGAAAACGGGTTATCTTATATTATTTAATTGGAATTATTATAATATTATAGTCATCGCAGGGTGTTGGTAGGTACTTAACACACCTCACCATATTGTTAAAAAATGTGCAAGTATAATATATAATACATATGTTATGGTTTTTTTTTAAAAACGTTTTTGATTATAATCGTAATAATAATTGTTATTATCGAGTCGAAATATAAAACTGAATGGGGCCCATAATTAGTTTTCCACGCATTCGAGTTTTGTAAATTTTTTTTTAAGAAAAGATTGTGCGCTTAATATTAATATACTACATTAGGCGACAACAAACGTTAACCTATAAAATATTTATTTTTTTGGCAAAAACAGGAGTTATTTTTGGCCGGTATGTCCGACTTGATGGTCAAAAACAAAATAAAACCAAAACGAAAATAATAATAATTATTTACTATTGTAATAACAATAGATGTAGTTGTTGGGTACACATAATGTATATTAATATTATATATATAAAAAAAAAATAAAAATAGCTTACGGCTTACCTAATAATACATTTTGAAATGGAAAAAAATAATGGTCGTACCTTTCTTTAAACGCGTTCACTGTCGGGTTTTGGTTTTTTGGATTTTTTTTTTTGGTTTTTGGATTTTTTTTTTTACAATATCAACTGGTGGTTGTTTTTTTTTTCGATTACTGTGATCTATCGGTGATTATGTTGTGTATCTATTAGTGGATGACGCTAGGAACTTGTCTGGTGATCGGATCGTTGTCCATGTCGGACGACGTCGACCCGGGCCGGTTGTCCTGCAGCTGTTGTTGTTGTTGCTGGTGTTGTTGGTGCGCGAACGCGGCGGCCGCCTGGTGATGGTGGTGATCGTCGGCGGCGGCGGCGGCCGCGCTGTTGTAGAACGAGAACGGCGACGGGAATATGCTCATGGGGTGAGCGTACGGGCCGCCCGGCTTGGCCGCGGCCGTCGGATAGAACGGGTTGTAGAACGAGCTGACCACGGCCGCGCCGTTCTTGGGGCCCGCGTGGCCGGCCAGCGGTTGCGCGGGCGGCACGTTCATGTTGACGTCGGACGACGGTGACGCGGGCGAGCCGGGCGCCAGGCCGCCGGCCTGTTGGAGCTGCAACTGGTGTTGTTGGTGTTGGTGTTGGTGTTGTTGCTGCTGTTGCTGTTGTTGTTGATGCTGCTGCTGCTGTTGCTGTTGCTGCTGCTGCTGCTGGTGGTGTTGCTGTTGCGCGACCAGCTTGGACAAGTGGATGGGATCGAACGACGGCATGGCCGCGCCCAAGTACGGATTGACCAGGCCCGCGGGCGAGTAACCGGCCGCGCCGAGCCCGTCGAACGAGTGGAGGGCCGGATGGTGGGCCGACGAGAAGTACGGCATGGGGAAATTGGCGAAGTTTGACGCGCCGGTGGACACCACCGGGAAGTTGTGGAAGTTGGCCGCCTTGTGGTGCATCTGGCCACCGCCGCCGCCGTTGCCGACACCCGCGCCCACGCCGCCGCTATTGTTGTTGTTGTTGTTGTTGTTTTGCATTTGGATTTTCGGCTTCCTGCGCGGCCTGTACTTGTAGTCCGGGTGTTCCTTCATGTGCAACGCCCGCAGCCGTTTGGCCTCGTCGATGTACGGCCTTTTTTCCGTTTCGTTCAACAGTTTCCACTCGGCGCCCAGCCGCTTGCTGATTTCCGAGTTGTGCATTTTCGGGTTGTCGTGGGCGATCAGCCGCCGTTGGATTTTCGCCCAGACCATGAACGCGTTCATGGGCCGTTTGATGTGATCGGCCTTGTTGGGCGGCTGCGGCTGGTTGTGCTGCTGCTGTTGTTGCTGCTGCTGCTGTTGGTGCAGGTGTTGTTGGGCCTGAGCGTGGTGAAGGCCGTGGTGATTGTGCAGGTTGGCCGGCGGCGACACCGACGACTCCAGCGCCCGGTGATGGTGATGGTGGTCCATGATGAAGTCGAAATTGGTCATTTGCGGCGTACCGTCCATGACCGACGCCTTTACTGACAAAAACAATCGAGTTTACCTGGCCAAATATTATGGTGTACAGGTATTAGGTATGCGCGTGTAATGTGGACGGTCGCGGCAATCGACGAAAAATATATTTTATAAACGATAAAAAAAAAATCGAATTATTTTATCGCGACAAAGTAAACGAAGCACAAGTACGCGACGCGACGACGACGACGACACTTGGTAAATAACAGCGGACACACGCCGGACCGGTAAACCGCGTTGCGGTGTGATATTATTATTATTATTATGCGTGATGTGCGCACGAACCGGTAAGCGACGGGACTGCGTGAACGTTCGAATGCGTCAGTGCCGGTCGGTCCGCGTGTACCGCGGCCGGTGGACTCGGCCAGTGGGCGGGACCGGGACGCCGACCAATGGCGCGGCCGCGTCCCCACTCCCTTGGCCGTCGCCGCCGCCGCCGCCTGACAATCAATCGTTGTAATATACTTTCGTCCCGCGGTATTGTTATAATAATAATTATCTTAATAAAAAAATTAGGATTTTAAAAGGCTATTTTTTTTTTATTGAAAATTATTAGCCAAGTAAGTGTTTTTTGTACAGAATTTTGTAGTATATTTTGAGTTACTTAAAACCAAAATAGAAAAAAAAACGGTCGGTTTCCAGTCCGGGTGGTTTTGAATTTTACAACTCTCAAACAAAATTATTATCATATTTTATCATCAAAGACGATTCGAGATTAGATGAGACACATAAACCGTCGACACTATCTACACACAATAATATTACAATAGTACACCTATTTATTTGGCACTTATAAACCAATTGTTTACAAATTGTATTTTTATCTGTCCCATATTTGGTAGGACTAACCTAGTGCAGTACAGGTAGGTAGGTTATCCGTGTGTCAGATAATCGATTATTTCCTAAAGGCATACCTGTATTATAATATTTCATATATTATATTATATAAAGAACGAGTCGGCTACGGTTTTAAAAGATAACAAAACTCACATGGACAATACTTGGATAATAATAATAATATTGTTTTACAATAACGTTGCCACAATCGACCACAATCGAATTGAGTATTTTTATTTTCTTTTGTTTAAAGCTTTCTTTAATTCGTAAGTAGGTATGGCTTTTTTTTATGATTATACCTACCTTACTCATGTTTCATATTGTATTATTAAACGTATCAGCTGTCGTGTTATAATATATTTAATGAAAAATTTGAATTTTTCATTATGTTATAAAGATTATTGTACATAACGACAATATTGGTGCAAACGGCTGTGAAAATATAATGTACCTATCTAATATTTTAACCAAGAAGAAGAGACACGTGCCGTTTTTCCATCCGAAAACGAGTGAAATACAGTAATGTATTTTTCGCTAAAATTGCCTATACCGAACGCCTTAAAAAGTATAATCGTCCACTTGATATATATCAATATAATAATTATTATTGAAAATTACCAAATAATTAAATACCTACTTAAATAAATCAATAAAACACTTAAAAATAATTTTAAAGCAACCTAGGGCACATATAGTACACCCCAGCAGTGATTGTAATAAATAACGGTGTGTGTGTGTGTTGAGGTCAAGTACGGTGTCTGTTGTATGTTGTGTAGAGTTTATTTTTTAATTAGCTGGAGTAATAATTATTAAAGAAAAAAACCGGAGAGAGAGAGTACATAAGATATAAGCCGGAAGTTTTGTGTTCATATTGTACAACATTACAATGTATACAGGTATGTTATATTTTATAAAGCGGAACGTTTGTATTGAAATATACACAAAAGCTGTTTATGCGAATGTTAAAAAGAAAAACATTTTATTTATCCCGTGTATTGTGATTTTCCTGTTTACTTAAAACACTGCGGTTAATTATTAGGTACTGGACGGTTTGTGTATTTGTAAAGGAGTCGACAGTATGATTTTTTTTATTTCTCCAACATGTTATCGACTCCCACCCGCCTCTTAACAACGGCGAGCTGGTGAGATAGTTAATTATTGTCATGATTTTTCTAGACTTGACTTTATGAACTTATTTTTAAAAAAAACCGAGTTAGTTGACTCAAAGTTTCTTTCACCGAAACAGCCATACATCTAGATAATCTTGTATACAGTGTACAATATTATATTAATATGTTTATTAAGTAGTATTTACAAATCTGGATGTAATCTGTGCAAGTATCTTCTATAAGTTTATAATGTATTCTAATACTATTGATCAATTTTTTTTCTATACAAACACTCGGCAGTATAATAATAATAATAATAGCTGTTGTGACCAACGCGTTTTGTATTTTACTGTGTGTACCTATTCTGAACAAAAGTCAATATAGTACCCACATAATATTATTACTATTACCTGCTACAAAATGTCAGTGCGGTGCAGTCTTCAGGGATTTGGTCGCACGGTATAAGTACCTAGGCATAATAGGTCTGAAACAATTATTCGAAAGTAGATGTACGGCGAACAATACCTAGGATTTTCAAGAAAGAAAAAAAAGGCACAGAGAGTGTCTAGTCGTTTCTATAATATAAAGAATCCGGGTCTGGTCGCGGACTGTCTCAAAGAGACCTGTCATAGTACACAATTTGGTACAGGGCCTATTATTTTTTTTTTATTGTACACATTCGATGATGTCTGATCGAGGAAGTGCGCCAAGACAAAATATATATATTTTTTTACAAACAACAAAACACAACAGGCTCCACAACTAGGTCTTATTCCTAATAAAAAAATGTCTTAAAAGATATTTTGTAACGTTACTGTAATAATTATACTTGTTTTACTGTTATTTCTCATTCCGTTTGCTAATAAACGAAAATAAGTTATTGTTTGAACTCAATCAAATATTGGCTATTTGATATTAGGCACTGTAATATAGTATGTTACATCTTTTAAGTGGGATTTTGTGTACAATTTGTTCTTTTCCGCTAATACATTCTCGAGCAATAATTGTGTCTTTTAGCTGCCATCGACTCATGGACATGCAAAATAATTATCAGATGGGTTTTGGATCTATTTGTTTTTTTTTTCGAGTCTTTGCACACCTCGACTGCGTTTTGAGTCTCGTAGGTACAGAATTAAATGGCAGCACAACAGCGCTAGTCCAACGGGCATTTAACATTTTTACAATAATTCCTGGCCTTTAGATTTGGGATTCGTCCACGTGGTCATCGCAGGGTCATCGCAGGCTGTTGGTAAATTATGACCTGACGATTCTTCCAGGTGTCTACCGTCCATTGTCGTCGGTGCCTTGTGTCTTGGTAGGAACGCAGAAAGCAACACGAAAAACATCTGCGCTTAATTTGTGATTGTGTGCCCGTTTGTTACCGAACCATTGTCGAGTGTGTGTGTGTGTGTAAAACATAATATAATACAATAACACGTTGTATTATATAATATATGTCTCTCGTACAGAGGATATGTACTGGCGACACGATACGATGCCATTGCGCAACGGCACGCATTCACAACACGCCCCTGAGAAGAGGTAGGTAGTACTTAAACGGATACGAGATAGAGACAGAGAGATGTAGGGTGCGACGGGATGAGAGGGTGTTTAAAAAAAAGGGCTATTTTTTTTTTTGAATAGGGAAATAAGAGAATCACTCGTGTAAACACGGTTTTTGTAGGCCGTGGCCGGGACACTGTATACTCTATGTATATCGGCGAGGGATCAGGTCAAAACATATGTCACACGAATAACGTTGTTGCGATCGAGTGTGAAAAATCCTCTCCCCTCCCCCCCCCCCGGCAGCATTGTGTTGCCCGTCGATAATGATCAATTAGATCTACACACACGACGTTATGGATCGTTTCCACCGGCGTCAATGAGCCGTTATGGAAAATTATTATTGAAAAATACAACATGGACCGCCCCTGCTTCGCCGTACAGGGTGATCGTGGGTAAAACGGTCGGCGGTGCATAATATCCAAAGACCAGGGTTTTCATCGGACGTTTCTTTCCTTGTATTGTAATGGTCTTTCCATATCCGAGACGGTTTAGCAACGGCTGTCTTGGCCATTCCCATTCTGCGTTTTATTTCCTCCTCGGGGCCACTTTTGTTTGACATGCGTGCTCCTAAGTGTAACTACGTCGTCTTTGCTTGGTCAATTCGATCAACTAGAGCTCTCTGATAGACTGAGATAGTTTGGACGTGTCGTTTAGAAGAGCTTTTTTCGACATGATATACCATGTGTCACCATTCCGGTATTTAGTCACTACAATCAATTTATACATCAAGTTATTATTCGGAATAGCGGTTATCGAACAGCCGATAAGGTTTTATCCGCATAGGCAAAACAAGATCAATTCGAAATTATATAAATAATATCTTCCGACACTTCGACCGGGTCGTAGTTAACCCCGATCACCCTGTACAGCAGCAATATATTGTAGTTGACAGACAGACGGTACGGTATACGGTCGACGACAATGGGAAAAGTCCAGAGAGGGTAAAAAAAAAATCTGCTACGCGTTTACCCCTCGCACGAATGACTATAATACGGTGGTTGTGTGTGTGATCTCTCACGCTGAGCGCTACTTAGGGTCGTCACGAGGACGGTAATAATAATTGTCAGCGATTTGCACGCGTTATTAATTTCGCTTTTTTATTTTTTATATTTTTTGCAGCCCAACGCGCGCGGCCGAAGGGTTGGGGTGTTTGTGTAAAACAAAACCGCTAAAGGCCCCGGTAAAGTCGGCCGCAGTTGTCGATCGAGGACAATAATTATTACCTACCGCTGTTTCGCATTGAGTCGCACAACAAATTTTGGAGTTACTACCATACGACTAGCATGTGTTCAAAAATCTTATTTACCCAGCCAAATCGAAGAAATAGGTAAAACAAAACTACGTGGGTCAAAAATTCATGTCGTCACAAAGACCACTGGGAATGTGTAGCAAGGTTGGTTAGGTTAGGTTGGCAAGGGAGTGAGGTACCTCGAAATGATCATCCACGAACCTCGGTACAAGCCAGGGGTGTCAGGAAATTACTATTAAAATATGATTTTTGTTAATTAAGTAAAGCTGTTTTTTTTACCAACATAAATTTACATATTTGTATTTATCGATTTAACTTAGCTTTATGTTTGTCACAATACATTTGCACGAAAATACTAATAATTTGAATTATGTGTATTTTGTGTACCTACAAGAAATTATGTTCCTAGTTGGGGAAATACACAAAACAAGTTCCCTCATTTAAAAGGTCTACTAAATATTTTGGGTTTTTTTTTTTTTAGTTTTTACACGAAGCTGAGAAGATGTTGGGCATAGTATGATTGATCAGCAGCAGCTATTACACGGTAGGACCGAATGCGATGGACGGCTGCTGCATAACAGATAACAAAGTTCCTTATACATCAGCGTGATTTTTTATTATACTTAGAAACAGTCGGCGAAAAAAAACGGATATCTGCCAAGGTTTGGTATACCGATTGTAATTTTCCCACGGCCAATGGATGCGGGGAATAATAATAATAATAATAATAATATTGTAATGGTATTGAAACAGATAAGTGATTGGCAGCGTCCGTTTCAATAATATTATCATACTATTATAGTATCTAATCAGACGATCTATCCAATTGCGTCGTCTCGGCCATTTCTCAATACAGGTAACACAATATTTTGTGCTGTTGCTAATCGCGTAGGCGATCATAATAAACAACTTATAAAAAAATAATAAGTTGCACATCGACAGCAGTGCATCTCATCGCGTTCACATCCTGTTTGTATACATTTGTTAACGGCTTATTATAATAACAATTCGCTTAGAGACGTTCATTTATTATGTCATACGTTAACGGTTAATACATTTTACTCGATCGTACTTAAGCCGTGCCGGGTTCACCCTCGCAGGTTTTGTACTTAACGTCACTTTTTGGATTTTATGGTTATGGTCAAAGAAAACAACACAATATTTTTGACTTTGTAAAATGACCCGCCGGTGGCCTATGAACTAAGTAACAAAATAAATTATCTTTCAAATAAACGCTTCGCAGCGAATCTGTTGGTAATAAGTGCAAACCAAGTGCGATATCAACCAAGACAGTAAGAAATTATTTAAGTAAAAAAAAAGGGCTTATTAATAAGGGAATTAAAAAAGGGGGTTGTTTTTTTTTAAGGATATTCTACTTCAGTCCATCGTGTCCATTAATGGGACCATTTCTGCCACCACCAAGACTCTCCACTCAGCTAGAGATAAGATATAAGAGATCAGAGATAAGTGGTAACAACTATCTATGATTAAATGTTCCTATTAAACTAGATCCGAATAGAAACGTTTTAAAAAAAGGAAAACTTCAAAATTATTGTAAGAAAATCAGTGTCTTTAACGTTAAACGGATCACACTGTCACGTCGTGACGGCCCTGGTATTCGCATTATAGCGGTAGCAACATGATTTATTATAATATAATATTACCAAGGCAAATGGATGCATTGGATGCGCTGTCGGTCTGGATGGAGTGACATTACAAAAAAAAAATTACAGCCACATAAATTTGTTGCGGCGTTTTACCGTCGACCACAATCGGCGTTACTTGTTTAACAAACACCACAAACATTACAAATAAGGGCCAAAAAGCACACAGACCCCTATTTGATTATTACACAGGAGGGTAGCCGACGACTGACGATTTGCATACTTAAGCTACAACCCTCCTATTTGTAAATAACGCCTATTAACTATTAACTATTATTATTATTCAATAACAAACCCATAGAGTATTTACATATATTGTACCTTTGTCGAGAGTTCGCCACGCGCGCGTTCCATTCGTTTATTCATTATTATTATTATTGTTATTATTTACATTTTATATGTATGCATTATGAATATCCCACGTGAATGCAAGTACATTCAGAGCGTTTTGCATTGCACGCCACAGCTGATACAAACGATAGGTATTGTCATAATATTTCTGTAATATATTATTTGTATACTAGTGTGTTGTGCGTGACACGAGCTAGATAATCACTAAACACTGGTTCAGTCATTGAAAAAGTTTAATATCGTGTTTTGTTTTTTTACCAGAAATACAACATATGGCCGACGATTGTCTGTCGTTTGTTTTTGGGCTTAATAACGCGTAGGTAGACAACCTGTGGATTGTGCCTGGGGCCCGGTGAACAAGTGGTCGATAAAATAGGGCAGTGTTTAATGTGGTTCGTGTAACGAACGACGAATTGCTAGTACCTACAATGCGAGATAGAAACCGATCGGACCAATAATAATGGTTATTAAAAAAACCACTCGTGTTTCGTGCACCCGACAGTTGACTTCCTATTCCTTTCCAGCCAATTTCTTCGGGTAACAACTCTATGAATCACAAATTTTATCTGATTGTTACTTTGGGCAAGGGGGAGAAGGTAAAAGTTGTAAAAATTCACTCGTTCATCCTTAAATTTTGGAAAAACAAAAAAAAACTACATTTTATGTCTCTTTTATACATTTATTTTGATAATTGTCGAAAAGATAACACCTTTACATCTTCGTGAAAACTTCCGTCAGTCACTTAACTCTTCAACAATGGTTATCGTGTATTACCCGTCGCCGGTATACAGTCAAAAAATACAAAACAGTTTGGCTCAGGAACTGAATCGGTTGTATTCAACATTTATGGAATTACCAAAGTCCGAAAATTCGTTCGAATTTTGAAGCGAGTTAACCTTATCCGTATTTATCTAAAAAAAAAATAACTTTATTTTTTTTTTTTAGCTTGAGAACTTTTTCTGTTTGGGATCGCCACTGGCGGTATTTTTAGCACTAAGGAAGACTAAAGATTTTCAAGACAACACAAGCATCTTCCCTCTATGAGCGCGTTTACAATATTTATCATCCGATGAATCCCGTTGTATACAGGTAAAAAGTATAGTAATATTACTTAAAAAATATTAATAAAACAAATTCGTATATTGTTCCGTTAGAACTCTAGTACGTTAACGCTGTTTGAAAAATAGTAAATTTAACTTCAATATTGGGTGGGATATTTTTTAGACATTTTTAGCACCATTAGTATACTGTGAAAAACTGAAAGAAAAATTGAATAACTCTATATTTACCTAAGAACGGGTGGAATATTTTTCTAGTTTCACTTTTTTAAGCAAAATTGTTGAAAATCTAGTAGAGATCTGAGTGGCTCTATACTGTGGGCAAATGTTTGAAGGAGAAACCATAATATAGATTATCTAAATATACAATAATTCTAGTCGAAGATCATTTCCCCCCCCCCCCGTCTTTGTATTTCGATAAATAATCGAATAATAATAACGATTATAATATACTTGGTACTTTAATTTTTAGTCAATAGAATTTTGTTACATGTTTCGGGTTCGGGTAGATTGTCGAAATTGATGGACATGTTGAGCGCTTCCGCTTGAGCGTCCATTGTCTTTTCGGATTCCGGAAACAACCGCGTGTACACAAAATAGGCCACATCGTAGTTTGACCAGTAGGATGTATGTGTATACAACATGGAGAGGTAATTGCTGGCCGAGCCTCCGATGCTGTCTCTCAAAACGTAATCCAATCTAGGATTCAGCGCTATATTTCGCGTTTTCGTTATAGTGACCGTATTATGTAAAATTTTAATAATTAAAAAAAAAAAAATACATACTTTCTACGGGAAGGGCGCCGCCTTTCGAATGTATTGCAGTTCCGTTGCCCGACTCGTTGAGATTCGGTTTACTCTCTGTACTTGCAGACTTGAACCACATACCGAATTTCTTAAACGCTTCACCGCTTTTCCTTCCGTCCGGTGGTTTCGTCTCGGCACCATTAGCAGTATCGTCGACGACTGGATCGATGTTGTTATCACTTATTGGTTCTAAAGTCGATTTCCCGTAATCCGTCTTAACACCATACGCTTGAATGCCGACCGGTTTTATGCGACTATAATCTTTTACCACCAACGGTTCAAACCTAGGAGTGCGGAATAATACATTAAGAAGTTTGAAAATAAAGTTTTGGACAAGAACTGTAGGCGGAATTGAGAATGGTAGCTATAAATGGGTTCATAATAAGCCTGTTTGCGCCATTTGCTATCACGGCGAAGTGTTTACATCCGGTGCAAACTATTTTTAGCTACGACCAAACCAATGTTTTGTTTACATAGTTGTTGTTCCTACTACAGCCGGCCCCCCGACCAATCGCAGTACTCGACACAGCCGCCCCCCGACCAATCAACAGCGACCATGCCATGTCACCACTAGCGTGTGACTATATAAGGAGGTCGACGCAAGCTCAACGATCAGTCTCTTGGAGAAAACCATCAAGTGAAGATCTCTATTCACGACCAAGTCGCAGCCCACCTCCACACTCCGATGTCCACTCTAGGGTCACCTTCTGGTGCCCACTTTGGGGTTACATCTTGGTGTCCACATATTGGTTAGTACTGGACTGAAAGCCACAGGTTGGTGTTGTGCAAGAAGATTAGGAAGACATGGGAGTGCGGAATAGAAGGAGATCGAGTCAAGTGAAATGATTTGGCGAAGGTGGCGAAAACTAGTGGAGAGTTTAAGAAACCGGAGGAGGAGCAGGAAGAATGATTGTCAAGTAATATTGTTATACTTTTTACCTGTACGCAACGGGATCCGTCGGATGATAAATATTGTATACGCGCTTAGCCAACCACAGGGGAAAGATATTTTCGTTGTCGTGAAAATCTTTAGTTTCCCTTAATGCTAAAAACACAGCCAGTGGCGATCCCAGACAGAAAAAGTTCTCGAGCTTAAATAAGATAAAGTTCTTATTAGTGTTGCACAAACATACTCTAAAGAAGATACTCACTTCGAAGTTCAAATGAATTTTCGGGCTTTGGTAATTCCTTTTCTGAGTCTGAAAAGATGATAAATCAAAAACTGAGTACAAACTGTCGAGTGTTATGGGAAAAAAGAAAAATTACATACAAACGGTTCCCATCCGGTTATGATATCGTACGTGATGACACTGCCTAAAGAATGCGCCATAATGGAAACTTTGATATCGTGTTGGGGATGGCGTTCCACAAATTTGGAATGTAACCGATTCAGTTCTTGAGCCAAACTGTTTTGTATTTCCTGCCCGTATACCGACGACGTGTAATACATGATATCCATTGCTGAAGAGTTAAGTAACTGGCGTATGTTCTTGAGATTCAAAGGTGTTATCGTTTCGACCAGACCTGCCGATAAAGATATATTTTTCTCGTGCACTTTTCCTATTTAAATTATTATTATTTTATTTTTATGATACCTCCGTCGAAATTACACGTCGATCTCCAGTCGACTGGGAAAAATTCCGCTCTTTGCTGCGAACCTTGAAAATATTTTTGTTTTATCCATTTCACGCATTCTCTAAATCTATACATAAAAAAAAAAAACATTAACAATTTGTGCGTAGGAAAATTACATATTACATAAACAAAACAATATGTATGTTAAGTATAATATTAAATCAAGTTCCCGACAAAATTGCTTAATATAAAGAATACATTACACCACATCTGATAAAAAAACCTGATGGTGCACTCTAAAATAAATTGAAAAATGTAAACAAACTTTAATAATCTCAGGTCAGTGTGACAAAAAAATAAAATAACTCTTCTCTTACTCATGGTCAAAGAAATTTGATCAAGCATCTGTAACGTTATCACCATAAACCTAATTAACGTTAATCAACAACTTGCTATCAGTAATTCTTATCAGTTTACGTTATTATTGTAAATAGTGTGTACAATATTTTTGGTACTATGATTTGGCCCTATTGCATTGAGTTTGAACCAATCAACAATCATCATTTGAAAATCTATTATTTTAATATGGAGTGCGCTATCTGCTTTTATATAATTTGTGATAACACGTTGAATGTCACAAGGGTCATCACACATAATCTTTGCTACAATTTTATTGTATACTTACTGTGATGTATTTTTTATAATTTTCATGTTATCCATTTTATGACCGATTCCGTGTACCATAAATATAAGATGGGTTATGTCATTTAGTTTATCGTCGTCAGTAGCTTCGGTCTTGTACGATCTGTTTAATTTGGCTCCTGCGGCTAAAATTACAAAAAAATTATATTAAATTAAATTTAACCTAAGAACAATAAACTTAAGTATAAACCACCGATTTTAATTTAAAATTGTAAAATATTTCATTAATGTCATAAATACAAATACACGAAACGGCATGTTTAAACTTTATATTATTTAAGCGTTAAGAAATCCCAAACTATATTTGAACTGTTCGGCATCACATCAAATAAACAATTTTTTAACTTTAAGTCAAATATTGAAAAAAAGTGAGAAAGTCTTGAAAAGTAATTTTAAATAACTATCCAAGTCACACAAAAATTAGATTAACTTAATGATTATGTAATGTTTTAAAGACCAATACATTTGATTGTTTTTGTAGCATTTAATTAAAACGAAAAATGACTTACATCTTTGAAAATATGATCCTAATTTTTGGGTAACACTTCTCATGATTTTCGTTCGTGTTTTTTTGCTAAACGAAAACACTTCATCTGATGAATACCATACCACATTCGAATCTCTGAACTCTTCAGTATGGATAACTACCAAAATTATTTATTTATTTGTTTTAATATATCAGTTTTGATTTAGTATTTACAAGTTAACAAATTTCAGAGAGTAGAAAGAAGGGATCCGAGGGATATAGACACTGCCAACAAAGTCGGAAGTGTCAATAGAGAAGCAAATAAAAATATGTTCAACATTCAGATCAGAACAGACATTGATATGTTGTTGATTTATTTTTTTAACGTACAAACAAAACAAAAATATAATTTTAAAAAAGTCACCTGATATTTTTGTATCGTCGGGATTTAAATTTATAATTCTATGGTTGAACAATCTTAAATGCATGTCTTCTATTTCGTTGCCGTGTTCGTGAGGCTGATAGTCATCATAAAACCACGTGCCTCTCAAAATTTCCGTCTCTTCTCCTGTTTTAAATTACACGTTACATACAAATAAACCGATTGAAACCGTTAGAAGGACTTTGAAATCATCACAATACAACTTACATACCTGGCCAGAAAATTGAAGTACATTTCATCGTACGCAAATCTGCTTCGTAAAGACCACCCCTAACCACGACTGTGAATTTGTTAATGAAAAATTGCACTTTAGGTTCATCGTTACAAAAGTTGGCTCGGTATCTGTTTTCTATGCCCAACGAGTCGGACCCATCGAACTTGGTCCATCTTTTGGAATTCGAGTCGGTCTTGTAAAACCATCTAATATTTTTCGGTTGCAACGGTTCGCGAGCAAGGTCAATACTACTCTCCGAAGAGGAAGATTCGACAAACCCGTTAGATTTAGTATTTCCGACTAAAATAGGATTCTCAACGTGTGTACCATTTGTATCCATACCACATGAATATATTCAATTAGGTACTGAAACAAATAATTACTCTAATAACACACACATACAAAATAAAAATAAAACATTTAACAAGTTACAAGAGTACAATTTACATTATCATACTCATTGTACATCCACTTACTTATGCCTTTTAGAATTATTATAGGAGTTGTGTGTATGCCAGCAATCAAATTTATAACCAATGTAATTTTTAATATATTAATTTTAAAGAAATACTGTAGTCTTACTACTAAATGGTTGCGACTATTTACAAAGAACAACAGCTGTTGTCATTGACAGCAAGAATATTATTAGTAAAAAAATAATAATAAGTTATTACCTTTATACCAATTATAACATACTGAATCCAATACTTTATTTGCAATCCCTTCTCTTTGCAATTTGTTAGGATTACTACATTCAATGTTTCAATAGGGTTTTTAACAAAACATATTTATTTGTAAGGTTCTGTTTTTAACTGTGTGTTGCTATAATATAAAGAGTCGAACTTAGTACTATTGCTTTGGTTCTTAGTTATGTTTCCTACATCATCTACGTCAATTATAGCAATATTATGTCAATCGCTATAACTACTTCGAGTAACTGAAATAACTGAAATAGACATCAACAAAAATCAAAATTATTAAACTCAAATAACGACAATAGTTGCCAAGAAGCTGTCTTTGGTCTATAATAATATTTAATATGATGTTATGTATACTCGTTTACATATAAAGAGGAACAAATGTTGACTTTGAGGTTGATTTGAAAAAAAATAAAATTACTAGGCAAAATTAAGTAACACAATTATTACACATTCACTGTCTATGCAATTTTGGAGAATAATGATAATTACTTATATATTTTATATGTTGTTGTATTCAAGCCCACTGTACTGGTTTTATTTTTTCAAATTGACAACAAAGCTATATAAAATAAGAGATTGTTTTGCTTCACTGCTTAAAATTATAACAAAATCATTTTTGTGTGTGTGTATTTGTTAAGCAGGAAATACTCGTACATAAAATGCTTTTACAATGTTATGTATTTGGTTTAATTTTGTATTAACGTTTTATTTTTTGGGTCAGTTTGCGCGAGAAGAAGTATTTTCTTTAAAAAGTATACACTGTGTGGGTGTCCTCTTAAGGGGATTGCACGTTGTCTGTTTTAAGGAGTTTTATATAGGCAATATATATAAAAAAAAGAAGGTAATAATAAAATTCGGCCAAGGCAATTAATTTACCGGTTAATTTTTATAATCTTTAAGTTATTATTTATAATTCAAATAAATGTGTCTATGAGTAAAAGCCATTTTGGTTTATTTGTTACCAAAAGTCCAGAAAAAATTTCGACTTTATAGGATGGTCCAATTTCAATTTTGTAAAGAGATTCGAGTTTTTTGGCTAATCTATTATGTTATGTAGGAAGCAGATTTTCATTTGAACATATCAGTTTTTTGTAAATAAATAAATTAAGTTTGCGTTATTTTTAATATTAAAACCTACATTTTTTCCTCAAAAAAAGCAAAATATCAAAAAGCTTTTTCCTTAATAATCTAGTAAAGTTGCCAAAGAAACTTTACAGAGTAGTCGACACTACAAGTAGTCGAAATTGTGTCTGGCTAATCCCTTTAAGAATTAACCTTGTAGTACATTTTTATTAAAAATTAATTTCTCGTAAAATAGTCCAAAAATTGACTTCAAAATAATTAAATTTGTATATTTTTAAAAATTTATATAATAATTATTATTTAAAATATAAGAAAATTTATACCTATCAACATCCAAAAGTCAAAATTAAAAAAAAATTAATAGCGGCTCTAAAAATCACTTATTTTCAAACTTTTTAAGCACCCTGTATATATTTTTTCGGCAACAAAAGTAGTAGACAAATACAAAAACAAAATAAGGCTTAACAACAGAAGTGTTAAAAATTGTGTACACTTGACCAAGAAAAGTGGGTGTATGTATAATGTTTTACAAGATCTGGTATAAACATTTAGATATGAAGGTATACTTTTTTATTTAAAAAATGTGAACAATCATTATTCGGCTGCTCTGGAGAGAGAATGGAAATTCAAAATACCCATAATAGTTTGATCATAAGGCCGACGGTAAACAATCAAATATTTATCTAAAATTGGTTTATCTAGCCGTGCAAGATTTGGTTTAGAAAATGTCCATTAAGTATTTTGTGGTTCTTAATACGTTATGTGGTGATTACTTGTGTCATATCGTTTGACGCGGTCCCGACACATTTCCCGGAATTGATAAATACTTTCAAACATTTATCACCCAAGTCTAAAGAATCGTATCACGAGCAATATGGGATGCAATATTTTGTACCATGCAATTGTGCACGTCCATTTATGTAAATTCCTACCACTCGATGAGTTGGAACGGTACAATACAATGCATGATTTTCATTACTAGGCAGTATTAATGTTATCGGTTTTGTCACACAGTGACGAAACTAAAACAATGATGCCGCCTGTGTGGGTACTTTATTTTTACTTGTATAAAGTGCGAAACAACATGAGCTATTACGAAGGAAACTTAATCCAATTGGAGTCTATTCACGAGGAAACGTTTGAGGCATTGCGAAGTAAGATTCGAAGGGATTGCCCTGACTTGGAAACCATGGACAGACGTCAAAGAGAATCGTACATTAACGATATAATTAAAGAAAGAGATCCGTCAAAGTTGTAGGAAAACAGAAGTGTTTCTAATAAATGTATGCATGCATACAATATACGTCGTTTAGAAACAACATGGAAGAAAATAAGGTTAAGTATGAAAAGTCTTTATTTAAAAAACGCGATTGGCAATGGCGGAATCATGGATACCTTAATTACCAGATTAACCTACAGTGATTCCAACTAGGTGGAATTACAAATTGACACACTTAAAAGTCTCTCTGAAAGTAACTGTCTACCAACCGAAACCCGAATGAGCGGCAAGCGTTTTTTTTTGTTAAAGAAAAGTGATGAAGATGTTCGTGTGGAAAACAGCATTCTGCATTCTACTATTTTTGTTGAATACCTTAAAAAAAACTTTACCGACACCAATTTTTTTCTTGTTTCTTACTTTATGGACACTCATCCTCAAGAAAAAACATCTATGAATTTAGAAGAAAAATGTGCCTTAATTTAAACTTTACTTTTGTTTGACACGAATACTTTAAGTTATTATCATTGTTTGTTTCTTTAATTTATCAGATAAATCTAATGTTAAAATACCAATAACACAATATTATATTAGTCGAATGTTCACAAGTTTATATGCTTTCAGTTGTGTGTTTGTTTTTAAATTAATCCAATAAAATACATTGCATGAAACCTATGTATGGTATGAATATGTATAGGTATGATGGTATGTATGGTAATAAGCAAAATTATTTATGCTACGATTATTGGATTAACTGTAATCAAATAAGGTAAATTATGACATAAAATCTTTTTTCGTTATTCCATCATATTTTTATCTAGATAACGATTTTGCCTGACTCTCTCACTAGTTTAATAATATTTAGGAGTCAGAAGAGTGGGCCATATCGAGCTTCCGGCGAAGTCAACTGTTTTATTTTGAAACTAAACGCGATAAAACCATATATTTTCATATAATCATTTGACAAAGTGACAAAGTAATAAAAAATGTTTTTTACTATCCCTGATGACTGCTATCAACACGGGTAAAAAATACAAACATCTTGTTACAAAAACAAAACGTACTCGTCCGCGGTGAAAAAATAAGAACACACCTTTGTCAACATGTGCTAAGAAAAATGTACAATAATGCAAATAAAAATGTTTTTTATTTTTCTAGCAAATAGTCTATACATTTTTTAGTGTTGAATATGTATCACTGACCACAGTGCATTGCTATATATTATAATATTCAAGAATATTACATAATACGGTTAGGCAAATATTGTTTTTTTTTTCGCATTTGTGAATTGTGGCAAATCAACAAAGAAGACAAATATACTTAGAACATATACTTACAAATGTACTATAGTATATACTTATTTTACTGTTTATTCGTCGTTCGTCTTTGGTGCCAAGTGTCTTATCGCTAAATAGTTAAAAGTATTCGATTGAAATTTGATTATTGTTTTGAAAATCAATTAAAGTTATGCATTTCAAGAGCGCCCTTATTGTCTGCGCGGTTTATTTCCTAACGTCGGCATGGGTAAGAGTGTATTACTATATATTTACCATCCATCTGGGATGATATAAACTCAACAAATTAGGTACATACCGATTGTGTATGATACAGCACATATGTATATGTATAATATATTCACTCAGTACGTTTACCAATACAATATTGATAGTCGTCATACTATATTTCAGAGCATCGAACTAAACAGTGATCAATTGGAAGAGTTGAAGAAATTGTATGAAAATTGCAAAAAAACTACCAACGGAATTAGCAAGGATGAAATCGCACACGTCGTAAAAGAAACCTTTGGAATAGAATGGGAAAATCTTCAAACTAATTTTGAATACCATTCAAGTAACATATTGATAAACAATTATATTACTTTTCTCTCGAAAAATTTAAGTCGACCGTTATGGACGTTAAGTGCGGTTGAGTTTTGCGTGCAGATGAAAAAATTTCAAAATATACACCCCTTCCTCGTATCGTTTATGTTATACATTAATATCTTTAAAACTATTTATTCAACACTGGTTATCGACCAGGCAACATTTTCAGCAAATATATTTTAATTATCAAGTTAATCTAGAAAATACTATAAAAAGTAAACATCTGCCACGGCCGGTTCGGACCCGTTTCAGTTTCATCCATTCTTTGCGGGGTAAGCTGTGACTAAGGATATACCGTGTGGGGATATAGTTTTGGTTGAGTTTTCATGCTGTCCATTCTTCCAACCAGGCGTGTTGAAGTTCAAAGTTTGATGCAATAAATTCAGCTGCTGTTCTCCATAGGGGTTATCTTGGTTTTAGTCTTGTAGTTCTTGAAAGAAGTGTGTCATAAGGGTGGATTGGTAGGGATGGGGACATGATGTACTTCTTCCATTCTTTTTTTTTTTGTTTTAAATACAGAACCAATGAGGGTTAACTGTTTTCCACACGACTTCCCCTTATTAGCCGTCATCGTTTATTCACATATGTACATATACATAAATACAGTTTTTTTGTAAGAAAATCCCCTTTACCCCTGCGACCACACAGCAGATCTTCCACATCTTCCGGATTTGGTGGTCTTCTTAAGAGTTGATGAAGTTCTGTCCTACAATGCTCGCATCGCGATCCTGACAGTATACTCATTGTGGACTCCGGGCTATTCTCCTCCTCCACAAGTACTCTCGGAAGCACCCATGACCTGTCAACACTTGTGTTAGGTGAAACGTGACTACTGGGTTCAGTCTCCCTATCCATCGGGCCAGACTCGGCAAGATCCGTCTTGTCCAGCTAGCTTTAGGTGAAGCGCTCCACTTTTCCTGCCACTCGCTAATTGTTCTAGCCCTTTCCTCCGTTTTAATGATAAAAAGTTGGGTAGTACCTTCTGCCTTTGAAACTTAACCCTCTCTCTCTATTGGGCTAATAAGTCTACTCAACAACAGCTTACAATAGTATTACAACTGATAACAGATACATGTCTACCATAGCAAAATTAGTCATACACAATTTAATTATTGATATTAATATGTCAGACAAAAAGCCATGTTTAAAACTGATATAATAAAAATTAATGACTTAATTAACAACTGATCAATTTGTTTACAGATCTACCCGATTCCGTTAATTTAATTAATTTATTGTGGGCATTGGCGGCCACAGACAACCAAACCATCGATAAAGTCAAGGTATTCAAGGTTTTAAATCAACTAGTTTAAACTCTAAATGAAATATATGTACCAACTATTGGCAAATATCGAAATTAGAATTTTATGCGATTTGGTTTCTTGTGATGTTTCTTTGATATATTTTTTCATACTATTGTTATGGTTATAAGTTAACTCATATTTAATGTATTCTTCAATAATATAACCTATCCCTTATATCTTAAAATCCTGCGAATTCAAAATGTTTAAATGGTTTTATTGTACAGTGTGATTCATTAAAGATAGGATACTCATTTTGTATTGAAATAATCGCGATTTTGTAGTTTTTTTTATATAAAATTATTATACATCTTAACTTACAAATCCTGTGAATTAAAGTGGAGTAAGTTTCAAATTTAGGACTGGAGATAATGTGTTGTTGAGTAATATTAAACTTAAGTATTTTTAAATGTAATTGCTCAAACCCGGTTTTGTGACCAGTAAAAATGTACAGGAAATTATTTTCTATTTAAAAATGTATAAAAAAAATATACCCTACTTTTTGAATAGCTTAAGTTCGTAAGACTTTACACATAAGGGATGATGTTTTTTTATGGAAAATGTAATAATATTGGGCGAACTGATAAAAAGGTATTTTTAATGATTTTAGGTTAATGCACTCATATCTAATGAAGTAAGTATTTTCCTGGAGGAGTTTGTTGCGGAAGCCGAATTGCATAAGCAACGCGGATATATTAATCTTCAACAGCTATCAGAAGTATTTGAGCATTGGAAAATGGTAAATGATGCTTTGAACGCAAAAAGAAAAGTACTTAAAACCGAAAACCCCGGTAATGCAGTTACACCGAAGAGACGTTTCACTTGATGTATCAAATTTGTAATTTTTTATTTAATTTTAGACGACTATGTAATGAACGCGGTAGAGTTCTTGTTGCTCATGATAGAAATCAAACCAGAAGTAAGTGCAATAATCGCAAAAAAAGGGAGGGGGGAATAAACATTCTCAAAATACATTAAATTAAGAACTTTAAGATGAATCGATTTAAAATGAAATAAACAAACAGGAGATTTTGAAATTAATATTTAAGGACATTGCACGCGGTCTGTTTTTAAAGAGTTTTGTGTAGTTTATATTTGACCATGTGAATTAATTTTCAGGTTAATTTGTATAAGCCTGAAGGTGTTCTTTTAATTTACATAACTTTTATATGACTTAAAATCATTTTGGCTTATTTTAGACTAAAAAGCCAAAAAATTTCAACTACTTTAAATGGTCCAATTTTAATTCTGTAAGCAGATTTGAGTTCATTGGCTAATTTACTATGATATAATGGAATCCGATTAGGTTTTATGCCCATGCAATCCCCTTAAAAGTTGATAGCGCTCTGGAAAAAATTGAATAAGATAAATTTAGAATATTTTCTAATACTATACAATAACATAAACCGAAATATTTCCAAAAGAAAATCAATTATTTATGCAGAAAATGAGTGTTAACTATTGTTAATAACTCTAAAACCAAGGAGATCGTATTATTTTTATTTCTTTTGAAATTATTTGTTAAAAAAAAACATGGTCTTTTTTTTTAGACACAATGCTTGTATTAATACTTTTTTCATGCATATAGGGCTATGGTCTGAACCAAGCACAAATAGAAATGTTTGGCAATTTGTACGAAGCACATAAGACATCCGATGGCATTGATCCTGTGGAAAGTGAAAAAGTGTTCAATGAGCTTGGTATAAGCATAAACGACGAATTGAGACAGCTGTTTAAATCCACCGGTAAGAATGTACAATTCATATAATACAATATTAGGTACGATAAGTAATTGGTGGACTACTAATTATTAAAACTCGTACAGGACCCGCTGAAGTGTTGTTGATTGATCTAATCGTCGCTGCGGCAGAACGCAATAAGGCGACCGAGGAAAATGTAATATAGTTTATAATTTTTTTCTTTCTGTAAATTTCAAAGTTCTTCGCCGTTATATTTGTTACACTATCTCGCCCACTAATTAATAAATATCACAAAAAATGTACACGAACAATTGTTTAGGAGTGGAAACTGTTAAGTCCAAGCGAGGTCGTGTTTTACGTAAACCAATTCAATGAAATCGACGATGACAACGACGGTTTAGTGTCTCTCGATGAGTACGCCGACTTCATGAATATGTTAGAAAAAGTTTTGGCAAATAACCTACCAGAAGCTATCGAAAAAATGCAAGATTATTTAAAGAGTTTCTACAGTAAAGTTAATTTAAATCCTAATTAACGACGATTATTGGTCATCGCCGGTTAAAAAAAAAACAATTATTTTTCCTCTTTTAGGTATAAAAACAATAAACGTTGTGGTGCACATGGAATATGTATTGTTCATGACAAAACACATTTTCGAATATTATGTTACGCTTGAAGAAGATGACATCGTTGGTGATAACTCACAAGCTTAAGCAATAGTAATCGGACCTGTTGAATAACCATAATGATAATAATATTATTTTAAATATTTATTTGTGTGTATTAATTGAAATATTACGCTTCTCCGTGTCTAATGACAAAAACAAATTATTATCTGATTTCTATTGATTGATAATTACAAACGAAAAAACACACACAGTAAATTTCACAGAAAAAATAAACACATACATTAAAAAGTTCATGAAATGTATGCACTTTTGAAACTTTTGTAACGATATCAATCTATACAGAACATATTAGCATACTTGGGTCACATATATTCTTAAATCCTAATGCGATGTCATCACAATTAAACGCTTCGATGTGAAAGTGGTAAGAGTCCAGTACATTTTAAACCAGCACAGTCTGAACCAGCTATTTTGTGTTTTTAAATATTTTAACTATTTTCTGGCATGGGTCATTGTAAATTTGTAAAAATATTCAAATTTGTATTAAATTATACATATAGGCAACGTTTACCAAGGAAATTATATAAATTTTTAAACAATAAGTAGAACATTTCAGTAGATAATTAGTGACGTTTAAAGTTAATGGATTTTTAAATAACGAAAATTATACAGAAAACCAATATACAATCTGTGTAGTTAATTTTTTATTCTTAAATATGCGAATTTCAGTCATGTAATTTGAATATTATAATTTAATTAGTTCAACTGGCTAACTGAACCAACATCCTCTTCACTTTTATCACTTATGTTTTGTCTATTAACTCTAATCACTAATATCTTATTATTTAAGCGATTGCAAAAGATGATAGAAGATAATAACTAGGTTCTTTATTATCTTTTTATCTATTTTATAATGTTTTATCTGTTTACCTTATAATTATTTGAAAATACGTAATAAAAATAGAATAATTACATTTATATAAATACTGTCTAATTTTATATAATAAAGTCCTGAAAAAATATTAAGTGTCATTTACAACCCAACTTGCTCGAGCTAAACAAACATTTGTAATAATTTTCAAACTCGTTGCCAGGCAAAAAGTTTATTATTATCATTAAAGTTTAAGCAATAATTGTAATTATAATGTTTTTTTTTACAAGATGAAATGACAGCGCAGTGTAGAAAATAACTAGAATTTTTTATGCATTAGTACATCATTCATCCGATCGCTTTGAAACTTTGGGAAGTAATTGAGTACACTCCCGTGAAAGTAACTGGCATAGTACTTTTCGAAATTCCATCCCTAAGGATGGCCTCAAACACGAACTTTCTACTTTAAATGCGAAATATTTTTCGTTGCTAACCCAAAATAAACACTTTGTTTGTAACTATGGTAACCACGGTACGTGATGATTAAAGGAACAGGCCGATTCTATGTACCACGATTCTGGGCAAACTTTTAACTGTTGGAACGGGATCTGGGACTGGGACTGGGGCCCTTGAGTAAGAGGGGGATATAATAACCGAAATAAGTGCCACAAAAACGCTGTCACGCTGTTATCTGATAAGAGATAAGAGATTAGATATGATGGATGAATAGAGGGGATGGATGAGAATGGCGGAATGGGAATTATTTCAATCAACCCGGGCAACGCCGGGTCCGGACAGCTTGTTAGTAATAAAAACGATGAGTTACTATAGACAGACGATCAACTCTAATCGTATGCACCCTATCACTAAAAGTACAATAATAAGCACATTTAATAATAACTGCCACTAAACAATAAAATTATAAACTAACATATCGGAAAACATGGGTTTTTTATTTAAATGTTCAAAGTAATTCATGCGCTAATTACTCGAGGTGTAATTTTGTATTAAAGCATAAAATATAAGCAAATTTATATCTATCAACATCCATAAGTCAAAACTAAAAATCAACAGTGGCTCTGAAAATTACTTATTTTCAAACTTTTTGAGCACCCTGTACATATTTTTTCGGTAACAAAAGTAGAAGTGAAATACAAAAACAAAATAAGGCTCAACAACAGAAGTGTTAAAATTCGTGTACACTTGACCAAGGGATTCGGGTGTATGTATATTGTCTTGTTACAAGATTTGGTAAGAGCATTAGGATTTGTAGTAACTTTTATTAAAAAAATTGTGAACAGTCATTTTTCGGCAGCTCTGGAAAGAGAATGGAAATTCAAAATACCCATAATAGTATGATCATAATGTGGACAATAAAATATTTATCTAAAATTGGTTATCCACCTGTCAACATTTTTTAGAACATTTGCCATTATCTATTTAAAAAGTTAATTAAATATGCACGTGGCTACTTGGTAGACGATAGTTCTGGAAAGAAAAAAACAAATTTGAGTGCCGTCTAATATTACAAAAAAGCATAAAATAAAAAATCGCCATTATATCACGAGAAAATTAGTGTGTTATCCCGAACGAATCGCTCTGTATATTCGACCTATTTAAGACGTTACAAAAAATTTTCTTCGTTTGCATAAAATACGGACTTACGCGTTTAAAAAAAAAAAAAAATACATAAAAACACCAACACGAATTCGAAAAAAAGAACGTCGCACCTAAAGAAATATTTACCAAGTTGAAAAATGTACGGTGAAAATGTGAATTTTCTATTGCATATTAGAAATTGAATACGAATAGGTAAGTCTTATCAGTGCGTTTTTATAGTTTTCAAAGTGCGGTTTAAAGATGAAGTGGTTCTTAATACGTTATGTGGTGATTACTTGTGTCATATCGTTTGACGCGGTCCCGACACATTTCCCGGAATTGATAAATACTTTCAAAGATTTACCACCCAAGTCTAAAGAATCGTATCACGAGATGGGATGCAATATTTTGTACCATGCAATTGTGCACGTCCATTTATGTAAATTCCTCCCACCCGATGAGTTGGAACGGTACAATGCATTCCATAATTTTCATTGCTGGGCAGTATTAATGTTATCGGTTTTGTCACACTGTGACGACACTAAAACAATGATGCCGCCTATGTGGGTACTTTATTTTTACTTGTATAAAGTGCGAAACAACATGAGCTATTACAAAGGAAACTTAATCCAATTGGAGTCTATTCACGGTGAAACTTTTGAGGCGTTGCGGAGTAAGATGCGAACGGATTGCCCTGACTTGGAAACCATGGACAAACGTCAAAGAGAACACGAATCGTACATTAACGATATAACCAAAGAAAAAGATCCGATAAAGCTGGAGGAAAACCAACGTATTTCTTTTAAATTTATACATGGTTACGATATACTTCGTGTAGGAACAACATGGAAGAAATTAAGGTTAAATATAAAAAGTCTTTATTTAAAAAACGCGATTGGCAATGGCGGAATCATGGACACCTTGCTTTTTAGATTTGGGTTGATTTCCAATGTCGACGAGTTAAAATCATATTATGATAGCAACTTTAAAACGGTTTTAGATCCGAAAACATCAATACACGAACATATCGGTGCGTTATACGACATTCAACTGCGTTTTATTTCAATGTTAAAAGTAATGATGCTACAGTTGTGTTTAAATTATTTGATGCGCGTCATAGAGATAAAAGATGATCGCAGATCCAAGTACAACTCGAAGTTTTCCGATAAACTCGAGGAGTTCACCGAATTGTTAGGTTTAACGAGAGACGACGAAGTAAAAATGTTCAGTGAACAGATTAAAGCCCCAAAAAAAAGCGACGTTATCACATTAAAAAATATACATACTAACGGAGTGGATGTGCAAGAAAAAATCAATTTAGATGCCAAAATAACCTGCAGTGATTCCAACTCGGTGGAATTACAAATTGACACACTTAAAAGTCTCTCTGAAAGTAACTGTCTACCAACCGAAACCCGAATGAGCGGCAAGCGTTTTTTTTTGTTAAAGAAAAGTGATGAAGATGTTCGTGTGGAAAACAGCATTCTGCATGCTACTATTTTTGTTGAATACCTTAAAAAAAACTTTACCGACATCAATTTTTTTCTTATTTCTTACTTTATGGACACTCATCCTCAAGAAAAAACATCTATGAATTCAGAATAAAAATCTGTCTTAATTTAAACTTTACTTTTGTTTGTCACGAGTACTCTAAGTTATTATTATTGTTTGTTTCTTTAGTTTATCAGATAAATCTAATGTTAAAATACCAATAACACAATATTATATTAGTCGAATGTTCACCAGTTTATATGATTTCCGTTGTGTGTTTGTTTTTAAATTACCCAATAAAATACATTGCATGAAACCTATGTGTGGTATAAATATTAGTTTGTGTTATTCAAATACTGATTGCTTGAACTATGCGATTATCATAGATAATTTTGTGGATGATCTTAGAAATACTTACTCACCATATTGGACATATCAATTTTTTCAAAAGACTATCTATGTTCTTCAGATAAAAAAAAAATAGTCCAGGATACTCAAAAGACGAGTTGAAAGTTTTAATTTTATATTAGTTTGTAGCTTTACGTCTTAAATTATATGCTTTTAATGTTGGTTGTAAAGAAACAAAGAAAGCAAAATAACGAAAGACTGTACTTATTTTAAGCTACCAGAATTAGTACATAGGCAGTGTTTAAGGTAACCTAACAAAATTCACATTTACATTTTTATGCGGCCTCTACACCTGTGTATTTTCTATCGAAAACAACTATTTATAAATTTAGCCGTACGCTGAAACGCGTAAAAAGACAATAATTTTGGTATACATTTTTCAATACTTGTTTTAAAACCTACTTTAAAGATGATTATAATTTTTTTAAAAATAGGAAGCAAAATTATTTATGTTAGGATTATTGGAGTAACTGTAATCAAAAAAGGTGAATTAATACATAAAATATAATTTTTTTTTATCTTTTTGCGTTATTCGATCATATTTTTATCTAGATAACGATTTTGCCTGACTCTCTCACTAGTTTAATAATATTTACGAGTCAGAAGAGTGGGCCATATCGAGCTTTCGGTGAAGTCAAGTGTCTTCGTGAATTATTTTGAAGCTAAACGTGATAAAATCACATATTTTCATATAAACAGTGCCGGAAAATAATAAATAAGGTTGTTTACTATCCCCGATGACTGCTGTCAACACGGGTAAAAAACATGAACATCTTGTTGTAAAAACAAAACGTACTCGTCCGCGGTGAAAAAAATAAGAACAAACCTTTGTCAACATGTGCTAAGAAAATTGTAGAATAATAAAAAAAAGAAAAAAGTTTTGTATTTGCCTAGGAAATATATTTTACATCTTATAGTGTTGAATATGTATTACAGACCACAGTGCATTCTTATATATTATAATATCCAAGAGTATTACCTAATACGGTTAGGAAAGTATTGTTGTTTTTTTGCATTTGTGAGTTGTGTTAAATCAACATGGAAGACAAATAGAAAATACTTTACTGTTTTTCGTCTTTGGTGCCAAAAGTCTTGCAGCTAAATTTTTACAAGTATTCGATTGAAATTTGAATATTGTTTTGAAAATTAATTCAAATTATCCATTTTAATTCGCCTTTTTTGG